CGGGTTGGGTAAAAGGGCCAATATTATCATGCCTTAAGCCCATCACTGGAGCTGAGGGGGAGAACTCTTTATTATGTAAAGGGGCTAGCTTGGCCTTCTTAATGGCCCATTGACAAAGTGGGGATGGGCAGGAAGCTGCAGGCAGCTATTCTGTCTTTTAAAACATGTTCCTTCCCTTTTCACATCCAGAGAAATATTCTGCCTTTTCAATATTTCCTAGGATATTTCATTTTTCTGGGAGAGGGCTGGGTGATAACCTCCTACAGAAAGTTTTTATATACTAAAAGGCAACATGTGCAAACAGATCAGTTAAATAATCCAGATAGGCGCCCTTCAGATTTAGTGTTTTTTTCAAATTTGCAACTTTTAAGATTTGCAGACCTAACCCTAACTCTAACTCTTGGAATCTCCCCTCCAGCATACAGTCTGAAGGATTTACACATCTGAAAGTTGCCAAGTTTTTTTTTTAAACTGCTTTAGACCAAGTGCAATCCCAGGTTCAGTGCAGGAATCTGGTAAAAACATCCCAAAAACTGTCTAACCTCCATTTCAAAGAATCTTATCTTTCCCCAAGAAGAGGACCAGTAATTCTGTCACTCTGCAGAGATGTTGAAGATTCTAGGAACACAATTTTTTTCTGCTCCAGATGGCACTTCTGAAAGTTATTCTACTTAAAAGAGAAATGGTTGAAGCCTGACCTTGATCATTACAATTTTGAAAAGTGACATTGATGCTTTTTTTTCTCATGCAATGATCTTTACTTGAAATATTTCCAAATATTATAAATAGAACGTAGTTTATGTGTCATTTTCATTAAATCTCAAATTTAAAAAAACAAACAAAACAAAGACAAGACTTCAAATATGGTTACACCAGTTCCTTTTTAAAAGTCTTTCCGTCATACGAAAAAGCGCCAAGGCTTGGCTTCACAATCCAGTCTTTTAAACCTAAAGTGTATTTTAACATTCTGTATTACAAAACAGAAAATATGGTACAAGTAATGAAACTGTTAAAATGCTGGCATTGCCTCGTTTTCACATCAATACATAAAAATCACCACACGTTATCTTGTTATTAACAGTTAGAAATATTAACACTAAATATCAAGTATAAACCAGGAAATAATGTACAAACTATTTCCAAAGCGCGTTTTTCAAATACAATTTATATACAACATTCAAGAAATTCTTAATGTAAGACATTTCCAACAGATGCTATGTTGCTGTTTGTTGGTGTTTAAATGCTGCTGTGGCTTTTTCCAAAGTGGTTTTCAGCAATGCTAGGAAAAAAAAAATATCCATAGAAGAAACAAATATCAAAGCTGGTTAAAAAAAAAAAAGCAAGGTAGGTTATACCTTTTTGGATATCTACAATTCCAACATAAAAGCAGTTATTTTCCTACCAATCCTCTGGTGGTATTTAAGAAGCATTATGCATAGCAGTGTTTCTCAAATGTGACTTCAAGATGTATGGACTTCAACTCCCAGAATTCCCCAGGCAGCATGGCTGACTGGGGAATTTTGGAAGTTGAAGTCATACATTTTAAAATCACATTTGAGAAACACTGGTCCACAGTTTTCGGGCCATCTTCCCTCAAGTGGTGGCACCTACTGTCAGAAGAATAATTTGGGGTTCCAACTTAAGCCAGGAGGAAAGAAGAAATATTTATTCCTAAAACCAAAGTTTTTCTTTAGGGGCAGCTGAAGAAAAATGAGGCTGAGTTTTATCGGGGATCTTGTCCTAGGTGTGGAAGTGTCTATGTACTGATTCTAGGGTCACCCTTAAAGGGCATCTGTGTGTACATATGTCATCCATGTTGTTTATTCTTGTGGATATGCAGTTCCGCTGCAATAACTAATTTAATTAACTTTGTGTTTACAGACCTTAACCTTTGATATGTCGATTAGGTCTGGGTAACTTATTTGGGGTTGAGGAAGTTAGATTCCCCCTCTCCCATTTGCTATTTTTACTTAATTAACTTAGTTTCAGCTTGACTTTCACTTATCCTAGTGGAAACATGGGTTCTCAGTTCATTGTGGATTCTCTTAATATTTTAAGGGAAGGTGGAAACAGCCTAAAGAATAAATTATATTTTGATCCAGGTTTCTCACACTACTCAAACCTTGGCTGAGCAGACCTGGGCTTGGGTAATACATGGATGGGAGACAATCAGGTAATCCCAGGACAGCAGTCTAGACAGGGGAATTGATGAAACCAGACAATAAAGACTATCCAGGGGTGGGATTCAGCTGGTTTGGACTGATTCGGGCAAACCGGATGCTATTTTACATCTGGTTCGCCGAACCGCTGATTACAAGGACTGGCTGGCCATGCCCACGCAGCCCCTCCCCTCCCAGGAGTCTCCACGCAGCCTGGATGCCAGGTAAGTGCAGAGCCCGCATGGAGGCTCTGGGAGGGCAAAAAACAGGCCTCCCAGAAGTTCCGGAAACAAGCCTGTTTCCAGCCTCCGGAACCCGGGGGAAGGCTGTTTTCACCCTCCCAGAGGCTTAAAGAAAGCTCCCGGAGCCCGGGGAGGGCGAAAACGCTCCACCACCACCGTGGTGCAGGAGGCCGAGTAGGCCACGCCCACCATGGCCACACCCACCCAGCAACCAGGCAGAGAACCGGTTGCTAAAACTTTTGAATCCCACCCCTGAGACTATCCCATATAGTTGCCAAGAAAACAGCAAGGGGCTGTCCATGAATTCATCGTGGGATTTAGCTTTGTTTCGATTAAATAATGGTGCAATTTTCATTCCCTCCCTCCGCGCAAAGAGCCAAGGGAATTTGCCAGAAGTAACTGCAGGTCAGTACATTCAATTGCTCTTTTCAACAATTTTTAACCGGCGTTGTCTGCAAGTAGGCCAAATATAGAGATTGTGGTGGGAGGAACAGTACCACAAAGCAGAATATATTAGAGAGTTTCAGTTGGTCCTAGTGGAAACTTTTTTTTTTTTTAAAGGAAGAAAAGAAAATTAGGAATACGTTATTCCAGCTCTTAAAATGCGGGCAGGGTGTTATAGTTTTTAAAAAATATTTGTTTTCTATTTGTAGCACCAGATATATCGGGGTTTTTCCTTTAATTGATAACTAATCAATTGGTTATTATCCAAGCTCCTTTGGATAGAAAAGAGAGAAAAAGAATATAACACTTGACAAGAACATTATTTTGCACGTCCCCTTTATTTATTTATTTTTATAACCACTAACTTAGTACCTATATAGTTTTGCTATGGATATTCTTATCCATAGATGAGAATCCATAAGTGTTGAGATTTTGTGGTGTGGGGATATCTCACCTGTACTTTTCAGAGATTATTATTTTTAATTAATTTTTGTCCCTGTTAATCTCGGGGGCACGGTCTAAAACTTTCAAAAATGTAAGCAAAAGCATATTGAAAATAAGGCTTTGAATAATATTATAGGCAAGATTCTTTCATACCAATTGAGTCAATTTTGTCTGTTTTCGGTATGTTGTAAACTGTGCTAGTTAATTCAAGAGACTAAGACTGCAGAAAATTGCTTGGGTCCAGGGGTGAAATTCAGCAGGTTCTGACAGGTTCTGGAGAACCGGTAGCGGAAATATTGAGTAGTTCGGAGAACCAGCAAATACCACCTCTGGCTGGCCCTAGAGTGGGGTGGGAATGGAGATTTTGCAGAATCCTTTTCCTGCCACACCCACCAAGCCACACCCACAAACCCGGTAGTAAAAAAATTTGAATCTCACCACTGGTTGGGTCTCTGTTTGGGCCCTTTTTTATGACTTGTGGACTTCAACTTCCAGAATTCCTAAGGCTCGGGAATTCTGGGAGTTGAAGTCCCAAGTCATAAAGGAGCCATTGTTCCTTACCTCTGCTCTAGAGCAGGGGTGTCAAACTCTATTTCATTGAAGGCTGCATCAGGGTTGTGTTTGACCTTGGGGGGCCTGGGGAGGATAGGGGGGGCATGGTCAGGGGGCAACATGAGCACTCTGCCAGCAAAAACGGGCTCCCAATCTCCATTTCCGGCTCCTGCAACCCTCTGCCA